ACTCGTCACTAAAAGAGCCAAGTCACGTGATAGAGGTCGGCTTCAAAATGGCGGCGTTCAATCGGAGGTTTCACTTCGGCACAGTTTTAACGTGAAATAGTCTCATTTACACGGGCAAATTTGCTTAAAGCTTGCTGTAATCAGTAACAGATATATTTGTGAGAACATATTTGTCTATTTTTTCCTGCAAGTCGAGGTAATTTTATTACAATCACAATTTTAATGATACATAACTGGCATATTTAAAAATCTGTGCATTTCTTTAGGGAAGGGAACTGCAGCTCTCTGGTCGCCCCGCAACTTATACCACGACCAAGAGAGCTGCATAAACTGCAGCAAATGTAAATGATGATTGTGGCGTTGGTAAAAACAATGATACTATACTACATATAAATACAAACGTCTGAGATCCCGTCACTAAATATGGAAAAACAAAAACTTACTATTAAGAAAAATGGAGGAAGCAGTCAAAATTGGACGAAAACTGAGAAGAACGCACCTGAACAAGCAAAGCGAAGTCAACGAAGCGATGTGTACACAATGGCTGCCGCGAGTGAAATGAACCAATCACGCTTTTTGTTCCCATGATGCTTTGCGACGTGACTCACACCACCTTTTGCCCCTGATTCTTTTGTGTGCACTGTGGTCACATGTTTGTATCATTATCTAACCAAATTTCCCCGTGCACTCAGCTCGTAATCGATTAATACAATTTATGAAAGGTAAGTTCAACAATCTTTACGGTTTAAACGTATTGCACATTTACATTATTTGTCATTTCGCAGATTTGCACTCGCGATATTGATATTGTTGTGCACAGACCGTCGTATAGACGAATCTGAGAAGCAGATGAATTACCCCTTCGCCGTAGGCGGCGCGCTAACGGCCGCCATTACCGGGGGGGGGGGGCAGCGTGAATCGATAATCAAGTGGAAATTTTTCGTCAGTGTAATGTTGTTTTGATCAAAATTTTATACCATAATTTTAACTAGTGTTATAGTTTCAATGTTTTTATGATCATGGGAGGGTCAGAAAAAAACTGTAAGTTTCTAGGATGCACGAACAGCGATAAAAAACTTTAAAAAATGGAAACAAACTACGTGCCAAATCCATTCACCAAAGACACATGTTGAGTGCGAATGCAGGCAACCCCCGGGAGGGGGGTACTTGCAAAAATACTGCCAGAGGTGTGTAGCTGGTTGTTTGAAACACCTACCCCTTATCAGAAAGAAATAAACTCAAATTGCCTACCCCTTTTCAGACAAACTGTGGATATAAATG